TGAGCTGACAAGTGTGGAAATCTAAAAAATACTTGAAACATACGTAATCAACTATGTTGATCATCGTGGCAATGTTTATTTTTGTCTGCAGCTTGAAGGGAGTTCGCCTGTGCGGTTTTTCTCGAAAATCGAGTTTTTCCTATTTCCGTGTAAACTTCAAATTGTTATAACTCGTTCATTTTTGGTCGAAATTGACTCAACATTCAGCAAATATGTAGTTTTGACTGAGAAAAATAGCAGAACGAGCAACAGATCTACAAAACCATTTTTTAAAACCTTGGTTTTGCGGAAGGTCTCTGGAAATTCGTCAGCCCCTTAGTGGAGTAGAGAGAACTTTGCCGTCTTGATTGGTATTAGACGAATAGGGATGGGTGTCTCCTGAAATGTTGAATCAATTTCGACCAAAAATGAACGAGTTATAACAATTTGAAGTTTACACCGAAATAGGGAAAACTCGATTTTCGAGAAAAACCGCACAGGCGAACTCCCTTCAAGCTGGAGACAAAAATAAACATTGCCACGATGATCAACATAGTTGATTACGTATGTTTCAAGTATTTTTTAGATTTCCACACTTGTCAGCTCAGAGATACGAAGATCCTCGAAGAACGCCTGTAGCTCTCGGACCATCAGAGATGAAAGGTTAGGCAATGAACAGAACTAGATTTCTTCTATATGTCAAACAGTTTTTGAGTACAGGTTACTATGTAAGCTCTAAGAATGGCAAGGTCGACCATTTTGCTTCGAAAGGTTTACTATGGTAAACCTTATTAGAGCGACTCTATTTTTCCATAGATATATGTGCCCCGGTGTCTAGTTTATAAAACTGAAAACCGCAACTCGCTAGCTCTGTTGGTTCAAAACTTATAAAAAAAAATATCCGACTGCATTCTATTTTGAAACAGATAGTAGTTTTCTACCTTTTGTTTTTTACTAAAAATAGTTTAGATGGATATTGTATATTTGTTCTTGTATCATATTTTTTCAGGTTTCACCCATATACAAATTAAAAGAATGGTAAGAACTAAATGACAAACTGACAAAATAGAGATATATAACCTTTTTCCTTCTGATCATAAACTAATATACGACCTATTTGACAGGTCAAACAAAATACAGACGCCCACATTAGCACTTGTCAAAAAAATATATATAGTATTGATGTTTTTTCCACATGTGACGAATCGTTTCATTTACACGCTTCATTGAATTGTAGTTGTTAGTAGTTTTCTCGTCATGTAGACAAATATGTGACTCGTCATCGTAAAACAGAATTGTAAAATACAACTATATAATTTAAACATTTGGTAGGCGTAACTGTGAATATCTTGCTATTTATAACTACAGTATATTGTTTTGCTTTGACAATTTACTGATGATAGTGAATTGCAGATTTAATGAACTTTGAGAATAATGTGAGAAATAGGGCTTACGTATTCTAGAAATTTATTATGTATTGATTTTTCTAAATTTTCGTCCGTTATACATTTCAAACAATAATTCTTAGGTCAAGGTATAAATTGTCCGAGTTTTTAAAAAGTAAAATATTCTTTCTGCAGTTGCATATGTTGTCATAATAAAGAAATTATTGTTTATCTCCGAACTATGAAGTTGTTTCTCTTATCATTTAGTCGTCATTAAAATGTCATCAATTCATCAACGTCTAGACCGTAGTTTAAGTCAGTCATTGGACTCTCTTACTGATTCGCCAATAAAGCATAATCATGGTTTTTTATTAACAACAACATTTGCCCATGATCAAAATGGCAATAATAACAATAATAAACAAAATTTTATTTACCGTTCGAAAAGTTGCTCAAGTTTCAACGAAGATGAATATTTTTCATCATTGTTTAATCCAAGTCTCAAAAGTCCGACACCCACACTTCGCAGTACAACTATACCCTTAAATTTTAACCCAGTTATTGAGGAAAAATCGCTCAAAACAGATGAAAATAGCGTTGGTAAAGTCTTTTAGGAGAATTTTTTCTCCATTATAGTATCTTTCTCACTGTCTCATTTCTATTTAGAGAATCATTTACTGACATCGACTTATCAACGTCCATCATTCCGTCGTTCATCGTCCACATCGAACGCAATTGCAAAAGTTATTCATCCAGACAATTTAACCGAACGTCTCCAAAGTAGACGTCGTAATATACAATCTAAACAGGCGGTAATGAATGTTATTGGCTTTTTTAAACGTCTAAGTTCAATAGCTGATGTACAACCGGATATTGAAATAAACGGTGTATCATACGATGAACAATTATTTAATACGAATAATTCTTATATATTAAAATATGCTGATTTGACAAAATCAGCTCAAAATCTTCAATGTTTAACGGAACAAAAAAAAATTCTTGAACAACATTTATATAAAGTCGCCTTGATTCTTACATTAACCGAATTACGATCGGATAAAGAAGTTTTACTCTATCAATATCCTTTAGATGTATCTTTGGATGAAATAAAAAATTATAAAAGATTTTGTTTTCCAGAATTAACAGACGTTCTAATCGAAGATTCATTAGTATATGATTCGTCTACATTCGTATTTACTCGTGTTTGTTCTGATGGTAAAATTGAATATGGTTATTGTCGACGGTTACATAGTACAAAAAGTCAAATTTATGATTATCCAGCTGTTCTATGTTTAATATCAACATATTCATGTTACAAGTTATATGATGCAGTATTGAATGAATTATCAAACGGTAAGTTCTATCAAAACTATACTATGATACTAGATGAAAGTATTTAATTGAGACTAATTTAAAAAAGATTGTTTTGTTTTCTCTTTTAGCTTATTCGACGAATGAATTAGAATGTCAATTGTTATTACAATCATTTTATTCAAAACCAGTACCAAAACCGGGTGTCTCAGCTGTCGTCTGTGTTTTAAATAATAGTCGTGTATTTTTCTACGCATGGCCAAAAGACAATCGAATAAATCATGACTATTTTGCCATATTACTTCGAAAATTATCACCAGTTAATGTTATTAAAGTGTTTTGTGCCATGTTAAGATCAAAACGAATCATCTGCTTTGCTAAAGGACTTTCAACATTAACAAAATGTTGTCTTGGTCTTCATGGTTTACTTTATCCATTTACTTGGCCTTATCCATTTGTTTCGTTGATGCCAGATTTATGGTGCAGAGATATCTGTGAAACACCATTTCCATTCTTCTATGGATTTTTGTATAGTTCATTAGAATGGATACATGAAAAACAGATTGATGATACAGTGTTAGTAGATTTAGAAAATAATAAACTCTATACAGAGTTTGATGATATTGATCTCCTTAATGTTTTACCTCCACCGTTATATCAAGTATTATTACGTTCACTCGAATATATTGTACGATTTCGTTTATCAAAAATGAATGAAAATTTGTTAAATATTGCCGTATCAGAAGCCTTTTTACGAGTATTTATTGAATTATTATATAAATTACCCGATTTTTTCCACCGTACTCACACGATGTTAGCTGATGAGGACACTAATAATTCACAGTTTCAAGTATGTAAAGATTATTTTAACAAGGATGCTGATCGAGACAGTGGCATTGTTATTCCATCACGAACAAATTCACCAGCAACATTATCATCGGTAACAACAGCCGAAAATTTAAGCTCATCACCATCCTCTGCATCATCATCGCCAAACTCAAAATTATTGTACAAAATTCAGTTAGATCGAAATCACCCAAATAAGAAACCGTCAACAAGACGAAAATCGATAAGAAAATTTGATTATGAATTTTTCTCAGATGATTTCCTTATAGCACAATCACAAAGATCCTATGTTCCATTTTTGAATGAATTTATCCATGGTATGTATCAGTATGTAGAAAGAATACTTTTGTTTTGGAGTCGTAACACGATTAATGAGATCCTATTGATTCTCCAATTCTAAGTGATACATTGTTTTATTTCTCATTGCAGGTATGATGTTTATGAAATTCCTTGACGAGTTCAATTATGAACGCGATATACAACAATCGCTGTTTTGTAAAAGATTATCAGAATATCGTCGTGAAAAAATTTATGAACAACAACGAGGAAAAACGGACAATGGAAATACTACGACTATGAATAGTTTAACAAATTTATTTCGACAAACAACACCATCATCAAATCAAAATGATGAATTTCGAGAACAAATTGATACATTGGAAAAATATGCAAAAGATTATGCTCGAGAAGTCATGCATTCTACAAATTCATTTAATAAGCAAACAATGACAAATTTTGTAAAAAAATTATTGGAATAATAACTTTATTACATTTTCTTAAAAGTTTATTTTAATCTTCTCTCAAGTCAATTTTTACTCAATGTGTGAATATTGTTAATAATTTTTTTGATCTATTTAATGTTTTTTTTTTTTAAATTGAAGAAATCGACATGTGCAAGTTTTACAACTGTTTTTAAGCATTATAGACTCATTATGTTATAGATTTTAAGCATGAAAGAAAGGACGTTACAAGAATATAGTTGGCTTGTACATGGAGTAGAAATGCTGTTTCATGTTACTTGAATGCATTGTAAAGAAAAAAATTGTAACTGATTTTCATTTCAATATAGATCTTTATTACAAAAAGGAAGAGGGTGGATAAGGTAAATTGCTCTCACTCAATAGAATTGTTTCTTTTTTCTATCAGAAACATGTCAGAAGATTACTAGGAACATTTTTTTATGATTTCGTGTCTAGAAAATTTTTCAATGGTTTTTGCCGCCTCTGATTTTCCACAGAATTTCTGGAAAACGTTTTCTCTAACATCTTTTGATAATACATGAATATGAAGGAGAATTTTATGTTCATCACGAATATCATCTTTAAAATTCGAAAAAAATTGACTTTTCACGGAGAAAAATGATTTTTGGTATATCGATATCATCACCTTGTTTTTGTAAGAGGTATCGTTCTACTAATAAAATTCAATTTCCAAAACTCTAAAAAGTGCTTAGATATATGTAAAAGTGTATGCTCTTAATAATTCTGCAAGTGAAATAGAAAGTTGTCCAAAGTTCGAAATACCGCACAAAAAGTCCAAAAATGTTTTTGGTTCTGTGGTTCCAGGATACGTCTATACTACTTAAGAACTGTACTATACACGTAACTTTTTTCACGCTTCATCGAGTGTCAGTTTCAAAGTAAGTGAAATGTTCAAAACTGAGACACACTTGTTTCCTACTTGTCTTAACTTTGAAACTGACACTCAATAGAGTGTGAAAAAAGTTATATGTGTAGTAAAATTCTTAAGTTGTGCAGACGTATCCTGGAATCACAGAACCAAAAACATCTAATAAAATTTTTGAACTTTTTGTGCGGTATTCCGAACTTTGAACAACTTTCAATTTCACTTGAAGAATTTTTAAGAACATATCCTGTAAGAACATTCAAATTTACATATATCTGAGCATTTTTTAGAGTTTTGAAAATTGAATTTTATTAGTAAAACGATACCTCTTACAAAAACAAGATGATGGTATCCATCTACAGCAAAACATAGAGGAAAACCTTCCATATCAGCCTTCTCTTTTGTATTTTGTATAAAAGGAGTTATGCATTATAATGTTTTTCTAAAGAAAAACGATACAATAAAAATTGTATTACAAAAAGAAATAATAACGCAAAAAGTCGATATTTTTAAGTCTATAGCAGCGGTATGGTGAGATAAATCTATCGAACTTATTCATATCTTACACGGACATTGTAGAACAGGACAACGACTTCTCACAGACTGAGTTAGTTGATAGGACGGTGGCGTAATTAATGTGTACCGGTCACCTGTTATTGTATTGTTACGACCTACAGGGAAGAGTAAATAGGGACATTCAATCAAGCACATAAAGGTTTTAACTTACAAAGTGCTTCTTTTGCTCTATAATTACGATCTAGCATTTGATGACAACCGTGTTTTCTTGTATATTTTGCAGCGTAAAAGGCACCTGGCACGCATCCATCGAGTTCTAGTGCTACTAAGTCTTGAAAATTGTATACTTGAATAGGTGGTTTAGAGAGAGATGAATTCAAATCACGATTGTTCTTAGCAGCGGACTCAAGCTCTCGTTGAGCATCTTAAACATGAAAATCTTTTACAAAAGAAAACGGTTATTGTTATTAGACAGTAACAAACATAGACAACATACCTGATCTACAATGTTTCTGCCAGTTTAAAACTTGACCTTTCTGAGAAAAATTTATCGAGGTTTTGATAGCCTAAATGGACGAAAAGACTAAATTTAAGAATTATGTAACATTTTTTTGAATGAAACCCACATTCATTCTCATTTTCGACCAATGATCAGTTTTTTGCAAATCTTTCGCCATACACAGCAGAATTTTCTATTCACCGTAATTTATACTGAAGAAGAATGTACACTATCAGTAATATCCAGATAGTAGGAGGCAGAATAAAGTTAACCATCTTCCAAGATGGCACGTGGAACCATTCTATCAATGTTTATCTTAACATTTTGTTGTTCAGTGAGTATCTTAAAAACCCTAGCAATGCGTACCTGTAAAAATGTCACTGATGATTGATTGCCTAATTATTTATTCTTATACTTTATGCAAAAAATAAAAATTCTCAATAGTTGAAATTATATTATTGATTTTAAAACTCGTAACATTAATAAGAAAGAAATGTGTGTTTCGATTTTCATACTGCCACTTATTAACTGTATGACACAGCGTGGTATATACAACAACAACCTGGCATCTATTAAATAACGTCGGTTAATAAATATTTTGTTAGAACAAATGTTACTCGACAGTTGCTCTGTTAAATGTTTGCGATAAAGTCTCAAACGATGTTATTCCATCAGATAACGTTCAAATATAATTCTTTTCATTCTTCGACTGAAGGAAACACATCAGTTTGGATCTTGGCTTTTCCGAACCGAAACCTAAGCTTCCTCTCTATAAAGACATATTTCCTGTATTAGAAAACTGTAAGAATGCAGACAATTTATATTAGGTTTTGAATTTCGTGATGAGAAAGCATAAGATCCGATCCGACAATACATGTGAAATTTTAAAAACGGTATTCACTCTCTTCGTATGAGCAATCTAAAAGATGAGTAATATGAAATCTAGAAGAGCGTATTTTAAATAGCCTGCAGAGGATTCTAGTAAACAGCACTTTGATCTTTAGTTCGTTAAAACTACGTGATAGATGTTTTGAACAAATCATCTTTTATATGAAATTTGGCTAGGAACATGGTGCATTTTTTATGAAATATGCAACTTTTTTGGATAGAGGAGGGCTATACTTCTCTGAAAAAGCCATTTTTTATTTTAGTATCAACGCTGGTACAAATGTTTCAAACGTTCAGAGGGGGATGAACGAGGGTGTACAGTCAGTAGATTTGCTTATGGTATAAACGGTTGACAAGGAGTCTATTTTAAACTAATGGTGGTAGTTTTATATATCCTTGTACAGAAACGAACTCACTTCAGTGTGTCATTTAGAGATCAAACAGCATGGCGTTCACTCTGTAAATAGACAGGTGATCGATTGAATAATTTATAACGGACGCTAGCCCTAGCAAAGTTTTTTTTCCTCATACCCATGAGTTGTACATATCAAAAGTACATGCGCGTAAAATTCTTAGTCATCCAAAATGCTTGAAGTATATGTGTACCTCAAGTAACTCAAGCGCATATGTCAGAAAGGTCATGTATTTTAGAAAAAAAGCTTCACTAGGCAACGCATTAGAAAACAAGAGAAAAACGGGAGCAGAACACTTGCTAAATTCAGAATATTAACTCACTTTAGGAAGAAGTCAAATTGGTATTTTTAATTTCACTATAACAATAATCTAATTCGTCGAGATAGACGAGGATAATCGTGATTTGTTTATTATGTCTTACTGTATTCAATAATATAGTTTAGTCATATATTTATTTATTTATTTAAAAATTCTTGTTTCACCTTTATTTTTCCAGTAAAAGTATGTTTATTGTTTCATTTGAAAATGCCATTAGGGTTGTTTGAGATACTTATACGTTCTATGAGTATTCTTACTTGACAATCACAGTTTATAAATTCATGAACTTTGACGTTCTTCCATTTGTAGACATTGTAAATAAATTTGTTGGACAGCTTCTTTATATTGAAGAGTTTGACGGATGTGATATGTGTTCTTAATTAGTCGACAGAGGCGTTCTATCTTTTCACAATAAACGATCAGAACTGTCTTTTAGGTAATTACGATTGAAAAAATTAAGCGAACAGTGCATTTAATGTAACTTCTAAAAATGCTTCGCTGTTATTCCCTTCCGTGTGGATATTTTCAATAATTAAGTTATTCTCATTTTTCAATTTTGACTTATACTTGTAGAAAAATAAATGGGATTATGTTTATCACAATCAAAATTTGGCTGTTTCTTATTATCTTTTGTTGTTTGTCTATGTACTATCTGCTTCACGATACACCGCACATAACTGTTAGTTGAATAACATTTTACAGAAGCGTGCTAAAAATGTGCAGTTTTCATTGTTGGAAGCCAAGACCTAATTGCATGGAGGTAGTTGTGGAATCTTAAAAACATATGGAAGCATAGGTTATCGACTACGTTGAATCTCGTGGCCACGTTTATTTTCGGAACAAGATCCGAAAACATAGTGAAAATCTATATTAGGTGGAATAACTCACGTTTGGCTATTTTCATCGAAAATGGAAAAATTCATAACTCATTCAAAATCGATCAATACTACTTCAGAATATCGAGATATATTCCATTATATCTGCTCAAGCTAATTATATACTTAAAACCAACAAAAGATATTCTGTTATTTCCGAAGGTTTCTGAAAATTCTGCTTCATGGTATTGAGAAGATAAAATCTTGGCTTCCAACAATGAAAACTGAACATTTTTAGCTCGCTTCTGTAAAACGTTATTCAGCAAACAATTATGCGCACTGTATTGTGAAACAGATAGTAGTTATTGATACATATTCGACCACGATGGTTTTCGCTTCCATCATGAGAAATATCCCATTTAATAATCGATGACTCGTTTGTTGTTCTCGTTATTGTACTTAATGTGCATCTTGGTATTGACGAAATTTTATTATCCCACAAAAAATAATGACAATACAACTTATAAACGTCACATTGAATGGATGAGAATAAAATGAACAAACACATTTCATAATGTTTCATCACTCCTATGAACTGTCTTTTTGCATGCATATAGAACTCTTGTACATCCGATTTATTCAAGAGTCAACGTTTATTTGACTTATATAATCTTATGGAGATTAGAAAATAAAATACATACGAAAAATAAAAAAATAACTATCCTGTTCAGTGTTGAAGTCACCACACTTTTCTTCAAAAACTGTAACGTCCGGAACATTGCTTCACAGGCAAAACAGATTTTTCATCAACAAGTTTTTCTAAATTTTTTAAGAGGCCTTAAGTAATTACTTTTCGTTTTTCTCAATAGTAGAATGACTTTGTCTGATATTAGAGATTTGCTCAAATTGAAAGATTCCATCGCTTTCGTAATTCAAAACACTACGTCACTCTGCGAAGAAAAATGTCACTCCGACATGAACATCAATAAAATTTTCACGATAGAACATAATCTTTTCATACTCTTCTTCTTAGCAACAGATAGTTCAAAGTCTCTTCCGGGACTCTCGCCCGTTTAACAAACCAACGAAAATAAACTTTACGTTTGTCAATGATGGCACCAACATGGATATTACCAAGAGATGACAACACCCAAAAATTCACGGAA